GCATGGAATATTACAAAGGTTTTTTTGAGGAGGCGTTTTCTGGCATTTCAAAGCTGGCATCTTGCAATGGTCAGGGTGGTAGGTGTTATAATGGTGGTAGGTGAGGGCACCGCTTTGGCTGTTGGCATAGGGATCCCACAAAGGTTGCCTGTTGCTCCTCTGAACCTTCACTGCCCACATGAAAGGATGAAAAGAAACAAAACAACAACAAAAGACCAGAGAACAGGGAAAGTGACTGGCTTACATAAATAAATTAAGAAGTAAAAAAAATATGTTGGCAATTTGAAAAGAAAGGAATTCTGCCTCTTGAGACCCCTTTTTTGCTGGTCAGCAAACACTAGTATTTTCCAAAGATGGCAATCTTTCATAGACCCAGAACTAATGCATCTTATGCCTTTTTAAAAAGCTAGTCAGTACTCAATCAATTTTTAATCTACTTCTGTCTTTGGATGCTATGATTAAATCCCTTTAACGGACACATTTCAGTTATCATGATCATCACACATGATGTACAATTAGTAATTAAGGTCTGAAAATATCCACCCATTTGAAAGTTTGTGTGTGTGTGTGTGTGTGTGTGTGTGTGTGTGTAAAAAACAAAATACAATGAGGGAGCATATATCACAATCTGCATAGTAACTCGGGGCAGTTTACTTGCCAGTCATTTCAATTTACTGCTCTGACATTTTAATTTTAACAGCATCCATCACCGGCATTATATTATCTTGGGCAATGAACTCCTATCTCTCAAGCATCAGCAGAAAAATTCCATTTACAGGAATTTATTAATAAAGACAAAGCAGAAATCTAAAGTCATCATTTATTGTTCTAAAATGTGATTTCATACTATCTGCACGCCTAGTACAGGAAACAGTTGAATTCTCTCTTGTAGTCAATCTTGTGTCAGACAGACCTTAAACTTGGCGGCAGGGGGGGGGGCAGATCTGTCAAAAAGTAAAAGTAAGTGAAAAGGATCCATCAGTTGATTAAAGCCAGTACTCTTCCAGAAAAAGCTGGTTTTATATTATTATTAAGTTATCAAGTGAAATTTGCAAGACAGCATATCTAAATGTGATAAAAGCAGCTTGTTTGGACTCAGGTTTCCTTGTCTACATCACAAAATGGGAAGGAGTACGTAGACATAGAATCTTTTCTCATTCATATTTTGTGAATATTTTCTTCTTGGGACATTTTACTCAGCATAAGGCTATAATAATTCTGCAGCAACAGATATGAAATATCTTCAGTACAACATGGAATTATACACCAGTGGTGAGTACTTTACCACCAAAAGAAACCAAGAAGGGAAAATGGAAAACAGATGTTACAAACTAAAAATAAAATATATACATCGAACTGTGTTTTACCACACACATTGAATATTTTATTTTCCATGTAGATAGGGAGATGTTTTCTAGTCATGGCAAGGATATTTTGCACCTGTGCTGGAATGCTGCATGATAAAGAAATCAAATCAAAATATGTTTCTCAGGTACTTGCGGAAAAGTTGCTGCAACTTGTTATATGCAGGGCCTAGACCTGCTTGGGCTGGGCCCTGCATATAACATCACACAAAGTCTTGCTCATGGACACGTAGAAAAGGGGCAGCTGCTCTCCCCTATTTTTCAGTGCTACTTGTGTCCAACCGGTAATAATAATATTTCAAAACAGTGAGATTATGGAATTGAATAATCTCAGTATTACATAATTTTTTTAGTCTATACTGACATTATGGTACTCCATAATCACATTTATAAAGCTGGTGTGTTCTGGTGCTCCAGATCAGAGTACAGTACAACCGTTCAGCTACATTTTTTAACCTAAAAGCTCAACTATTAATTGGCTAACAGCAGGATCTCATGGTTTCTGCAAGGGCCATTCTCTGATCTTATCCAAGATCAGAGAATCACATCTGATTTCAAAAGAGGTCATCATCAGCCCTTGGCTCTCTCACCGCACTCCTTTGGTAATCATATCAATGTCCATTTCCCTGCTACTACATCTCTGATGCTTCGGAGATACGTGGAGTTTTTTGTTTTTTGTTGTTGTTTTTTTGCATTGGATGATTGGCAGAGGCCTTGGATCCATAGAATACAAAGCCTTCCTAGTCCCTTACCATGTCCCCAATATAGTGAAATATTCTTATCTACTATGGATCTGTTCTAAATAATTCACCTCCTATTGGAAGCAACAAGAGAAAAAGTGTAGCAAACAGATCCAAACTCGGAGGAAGAGGAGGAAATGCTATTCCTCTCTTTACCTTGGCAGCAGAAGGTAGAATGATACAGACGTTTTAAGGGCAGAGCTTGCTGTAACTAACAGTAGAAATTAGATAATTGTAGAATAATTGAGTTGGAAGGGGCCTGTAAGACCATTGCGTCTAACCCTCTATTCAGTGCAGGAATCCAAATCAAAGCAGATCTGACACAATTTGCATTAAGCTGGCTTTTCATCAGATAATTGAACTATACTGCATCATTCAGAATGGCACAAAATCTGGTGAAAACAGGCCCAGACTGTATAGGCAATTTGGGGCATATTTCCTACACAAGTTGTGCTGACATGTAGGATCTTATGCTTTTTTGAATATCATCACCACTCTCATCATTTTGGACTTTATGCCAGCTTCCCGACAGGCTAGTGTAACATCGACAGCATGAAACCTCTTCAAGTGAAGGATCCCTTGGATATTAGAAGTATAAAGACCTCTCTAAGCAGAAATAACATTAGAGCACAGAAAAGTCAAAGAACAGTGGAGGGTGGCTAAAAGCATGGCACCATGTAAGGTTTCTGAGGTTTTTCCCCCCCACAAAGAGCAAATCTTCATGGTCTGCACCACAAGAATCAAATCCTGTTGCTTAGCATAGTCAGTCACAAATAGAGTAGGCCCATTGAATCTGTGGGGATGTGGTAAGTCAACTCTTCTATAAGTTCCATTGATTCAGTGGGACTACTCTAGTTGTGACTTACTACACTAAGCAACAGGATTTCAGCCAGCGTGTCTTGTCTATGTACATTAAAATAAGAAAATCAATTTATCATTTGGGTAGGACATATTCCCTCTTGGCCTCTCCCACAAATGCCCATAGTACAGTATGAAAGACTCCCCACTCTATTCTACTCACATCATCCCTTTATGGTTATTGTACTGAAACAGAGCTCAGACAGTCACTATGTACAATGAAAGTATGTCTTGTCTTTACAACATGTTGCCTGAGCCTGTAGCCTTAATGGAGAACCAAGTCATATTCTCTATGAAGTTCCTGAGGGCCAATATATAACCTTGCATGCGACCTTTCCTCTCTCCATGCTGGTCTTGCTCAAGCAAAGCTTGCCGGTTCATACTTTATATGATTAGTTAGCCCCATAACTTAGATTATACTTAGCCCTCTCTTAATTAAGGTATTAACCCACACACATTATCACTGCCTGTGGCAGTAAAATATGTCATTAATTCTTACAATTCAGCATGGATAGCCTATTCCTATGTCTGTTACTAAGTGAGAAAAATATAAAAATTTTCTTCAGCAAATATGGCTTCTTCATATAAACCAAATGTTGTTTACTTGAGTGAAATTTAGTACTTAAGATTCTTTTAAAATTATAGGCTATGTTGTCTGAAAATGAGCTTATAAATACTTAGCTATCCTGTATTCATGTATAGTCAAATACATGTATAGTCAAAAACAGCTACACTGATCACTTCTTTTTTATAGATGGAGACAAATAAGTAGTTGGTAAAATGGTCTCCTTTTGTTTGAAGTTATCAATGATGTTCAAAGTAAGAGTATCAAGAACATGTATGTCTTCGGAATAGATTTATAAATAGAATCACCTCCACCCCCAAATTAAATACAGATTCTAGACTTAGTTTCCCACAGTCTTGAAACATGCTTCATTCTAAGTCCCATTTAAATTAGCATAAACTAACACTCTAAGCATACATACAGGAAAAGAGAGTTCTGAAAGAAACTGACTCATTCTGAGGGAAACTGACTCGGATTGATCATGTATCAAACCAAGGTCATAACAGTGAAAGAAACAAAATACAACTCAAAACAGCCTAATGGTAATTTCTGTCCCATTAGAAAATAGGCATGGAAACTCACAAGAGTGGCACTGGCAAAACCAATGTTTACTTATCTCACATACCTTGGAAATTCTCCTATGGTTATTGTAAGTGGGAATGAGCTTGATGGCACATTAACAAAGAGAAAACAGGAAGAAATGCGGTTAAAATTAGCTGTGGAACTGCAAGTTCCCTTACCATGTTCTGGTCCCTTAAGAGCCAGTCGTGTCTGATGATGAGGGAGGATCTCTAGCTTGACATTGTCCGCTGTATTAGCCAAGAACTGTGTTGCTTCTGCCAATGTACAGTACTCCATGCTGGTGCCATCAATGGAAAGAATGTGATCTCCTACATGTAATGCACCACATCTATGGAAAAGGAAAAGGAAAAGGAAACTCTCCACAGAAGTTCATTGGGATTCACTGCTTTCAAGTGATATTATTCACTTTATTTTTCTGCCTCAAATGAGATAAAATTAGTTTTCATACAATCTGCTAGATCATAAATGCCATTAGTGCAAAACTTAAAAATGGTTAAAAAAATTAGATTGCAATATTGATTGGATTATTTGCAATGGTTTGCCAAAAACCAATACAGTATACAAGGAAAAGCCCAAGACATCATGAACAGAATTTGAATGGTAGTGAGTTAACATGAATGAGCAACACAACAAAAGGGAGCAGCTTAGCTTAAGAAGGCTATTCTCTTACACAAGGACCCACTTGATTGTATGGTGAATTATCTGAGAATCAAACATTTTGTTGATTTTTGCTGGCAATCTGTAAAAGGTGGTGATGATATACACTAATTAAATTAATTATTAAACTAGTCATGATGACTAGATAGGCTAGGTAAGTAAAGACAACCTAATATGTGGGAACTGAAGGGGCTAGATGCTACATTTCACAGCACTCAAGAAACTGGCTACTGGATGAGTTCAGAAAAGCAAACACAGCAGTCAGCATCCTGACGTACCAGTCCTGTAGAAAATGTCTTTAGATGGTTACCCCCTGTGAAATGGGAGAAAAACAAAGGGAGAAAATTAAAGTATTGCATCCTTCAGAATAAAACTTGGATCGGAAACCGTAATTCTCATGGCAAAAAGTCCACAGTAGGATTGTACACTAATTGCAATATTTGCAGGATTGCTGAAATGGAAAAACAAAGAATGGCAATGGGGGAAATTGGGGAGGGGCTGTAAATGGAAAACACCATTTGTAGTAACTTTAATATATTCCACAATTTTTGTTTGGAGGAATTCAGAGGCAGAATTATTTGAGTATGTAGTGTGTCTATTAGATAGTGTTGAATTAGGGTTCAGGAAACCTGGTCTCAAATCTCTGCCTGGTCATGGAAACTCACTGGAGGGTGGCCTCCTTGAATATCTAGAAAGGTTTACTGGGGTGGAATGGGAAGGAACCTGACAGCAGATAACACCAATGGGTCAAGGAATGAATGACAACACTATCACACAGATTTTCTCCTAGGGAACTAATTTAAATGATGCCACTGAACAGAAGTTGCATAAAACACACATTTGCAGAAATATCATTCATTTAAATGTGGTTGGGAGAGAAAGATCCCTGGACTGTGTCTAGGGTTAAAAATTCAGTACAGTACACTACTTTTCAAACATGGATTTTCCTCATAGACTATTGAAGTAAGTCATTTAAAACACACACACATACACCAGCCAAAAAACACCCCAGAAGCCAGCTTCTTTTGTTTCTCTGATACTGTAAAATACAACAGAAAGTGTAGCAGTGGGATAGGTCAAGTCTAATGAGTGTCAATTTTGTGTACTCCAAGATTGAATGATGATTCCTTTAAAAACAACAACAGCAGCCAACAAACCTGCCAGGATTATAAAGTCTCATAAATTCTGAATGCTGTATGACATTCACCATAGTAAATATTTTATCATGAAAATCATTGCTGGATTTTTTAATGACTGTATCTTTAAAAAAATGATCAGTGTAAATGTCCAAACAACTGGATAGGAAACAAAGAAACTGATCTTGACCCAAGATACAAGCAGAATTTCATACATGCAACAATGTGCTCCTGCAACTTTCTCCTTGCAGCCAAAAGTGCTTGTGGATAGCAGGAACACTGGCTGGGAGTGGGAGAATGGATGTGGCAGCAATCGTAGGGGGAAGGTGCTTGGATGAGTGGAAATGCTTTTCCTTTGCATCTATTTTTTTAGGGTTTACTTGCTGTGCTTATAAATAGGCTGTCACACAGTATTTGTGCAGGACACCGTTAACTGTCTTAACTGCTCCTCTGACTGCTGAATTTTCCTATGATCTATATCAGTGGTTGTAATACTCACCTGTCTGCAATACTTGCAGATTTAATTTTGTCTATGATAATAACTTGTTTGCTACAACACATCGAGGTAGATAGTGCAACTCCCAGAGCAGAGCCCGCCGTTTTGGCGACTTCGACAAGCAGTGGTCCAGAAGCTGTTGCTACAGAATCTGTAAAACAGCAAAGACAATCTTGTGTGATTACATCTCACACACATTTTCAAGCCCTGCATTTATTAACTACCAAAGTGGTTTTCAAAACAAAATTTTTGTTTTTGTCCTATTCACCAGACAATACTAGGAAAACAACTGGTTATATCTGTTACAGCGGCACTAATTCCTGATCTTCCCAGAATACACACACACACACACACAGCAAAATGCAAAGGTAATCAAAGTAAGAGGAAGTCATGCTTTGCACAGGAGGGTAGAGAAAGTGTAGTGTAAAGTGAAAAACAATTCACTACTTTAAAAGAGACCCTGGAGAAGACCTTTGCTCCAATGCTGAATAGGTTGACTATGCATTGTCCAAATAATAACAGTATTTTCAAAAAGAAGGAAATATTTTGCAAATTCATGCAAAGAAGTATTCATGGAGCATTCTGTGGGACAGTCACTAGTTGTAGGCCAGCGCTATTTCTTCCCTGTTTTAAGGGACTACATAAGTAATGCCAGAGGAAAAAATCCACACTTCTCGCCCACCTCTAAAAATAAATAAATAAATGTACTTAAATAAAAATATAGGACACAAAAACAACAGTAAAACATTACAATCCTCTAACTGATATAGAAGCATAGCAAGCTTATCATTCCTGCAGTTATTATATTCTTCCGTGTATTCAATATAGATTCCCTTTGAATTGAGATAGGCAGGACTACCCAGAAAAGGCTAAAATGAACTTGGTTTGAGTTGTGATTTGGATAAGCCTTCTGATGTTGATAAAAGTGCATGTGGAACCCACATCAAGGCAGGTAAGGTCAACAAACATTATACAGAACTAGGGAAAACAGAAGACAAGCAGCCAACTAGGAGGAATCAGAAACAATGATCAAGTGCAGCTCCCTTGACAGAGACTGATTAGTTTACCCTGTGCAAGTAAAAGGCACAAGTATGAAAAATGAATCATGGAGATATAAATTATTCATGTGCAAAAGATGTTTAGGTCATTAAGATAGTTACACCATGACCAAAGCACTTACACACCATGTTGATTTATCAGCTGTATAATTACATAAGATACACTGATGAATGTTTGCACGGAAAACACTCCTAGATTTTTATTTCATTTATAAGTTTTCCTAATTTTGAATGTAGCATCTCTATCAAGGCACCAGGTTTGATTAGAGCCTCCCAGAGGCACTGCAATTACTTTCAGCATGCTAATAATAACCTTGGCTTCTTTAACTAATCAACAGGGCACTTCCTCCCCTTCCACCCTATCACAAATAGTATAAGAAGAGGGAAAGCATTTTTTAGCGTTATGCTCAAATGGGAATTAACATACAGATTTGGTTTGTGAAAATTCCAGATAAATAAAAATGGTTCAAATGCTTAAAGAATATCATCATTTTTTTTAAAAAATGTAGGAAATAATGAACTTGCTTTAAGCAAAATTATGCTTGCTAGCTTCCAAAGTATGTTTCAAGTTAAATGTGGTTCACATTTGTGAGAAAGAGATGTTGGTCCTAGACATTTACATAACATATAGATGTCAAAAAGAATATACATACATAAGTGATCATAGTTGAAGACAGCTGTTAAATACTAATTTTGATAGAGAGCTTTGGAGAATAGGGATGAGATGCTACCAGTTCCATTTAAACCAGGTGTTACCATTGCCCAAAGGTACTAGAATTATTCCATCTGTAATTTAGGAAGCTCACTTCTCTCTTACTGCTGGTATGAATAATAAAGAGGCCACTGATGCTGGCTAAAGCTCAGCACTTTGTGAATAATGCACAGGAATAGAACTGATTGTGCAGAGTGCATTAGCTTATGTGAACTTGTAGAAGCATCCATTAATATGGAGTTCCTGATCCTTCCTGGATCATAGGGAATTTAGTGACAATATCATGTATCTTTAAGAATACTATTCTAGAGATATCAAAGTATTTCTACACTTCACTATGGCTTCTGTTGTAGTATCTAATATAATCTATAATCTATTTAATCCAATTCTTCATTTAAATTCTTCAATTAAATTACTAAACTCAACCCTGCACATGCCTTCTTAGTTAAATTGCCTGTTCAAGTCATAATATCCATATATTGGAGAACACTGGTTTACATTTATTTCTACCAAACAGGTACATGTCAGATATAGTGGCTACATGCAAAGAATTCCTGAGTACTGTTATATTTCTAGCATAAAATAAATATATGATTCACATTTCCATGGTCGCTAAAATGCAATGGTTTCACAATACAGAAATACAAATTTAAATTAAGTACAATACGTAGTAGAAAGTGTTTCCTAAGAGAAGGTCCTCAAAGCAGAAAGCTTTGCAGGGATTTTTTTTTTAATGGAGAAACTTTCCATGAAATGTTTGGGCAAAGATCTGGCTGAAATGTTTCAAAGATGAGGTTCAATCAACTTGATCTGCTGTATCCCTTGGGATTCTAAAGTAAGTCCGTGACTGCTCCAATGCAATTTCATCTAGACGGGACATACTTGCTATGACAAAGCTAACTAGAGATGGACATGAAATGAACCACAAACAAAATGCCCCCACAAACTGGGCCAGTTCGTGCTTCATTTCATGAGTGGTTCTGGGAAGCACATTTTCATAGAGTAAAATGAGACACCAAACTTTTTCATCCCTGGCATTTCATTTCACTTCATCCTCGCCGAAAGCCCACCTTCATGGGCCCCAGCACCTACTTTCCTCGCACTGGGCCTCCTCCCTTCTACCTACACTGCTCTGCCCAGCTAAGTAAGACAGTGGGCTGTGTGGAGTCTACTTCCTACCCCAGGGCTTCCTGGAAGGTTTGGAGTATTGCAGAAAGTGTACAATAATTTTGCTGCCCATTTGTCAATATATTGGGAATCCTCAAAGAACTACACTCAAAGAACAAGGGCTGAGTCCATCAAGGGGTATGCGAGGTAGAAAACTCGTAAGTGGGAGCTTTCTGTGTAGCTAAGCTACACAGAAAGTCCCCCTTCATTTAGGGATGAATAGACTGAATGAACCACGTATCAGCTCATTTAAAAAACATTCAGCATGGTTTGTGGTTCATGGACACTGTGCCAGGTCATGCCCATCTCTGTATCCAATTTATCTGGATTTGTCCTAAAGACTCAATATGGAAACAGGGTGGGAAAGGGCATCTGCCATTTCCATGACACAAACGCCTCTGTAAGATTGAAAGTGTTTATGAATATCAGAGAAATCTCTTGCCCATCTGCTGCTCCTCCGGGTCTCCCCACTTGTCCGTTTTCCCACTTTCTCATGTTACACAAGATGTCAATAGCAAAAAGATTGTTATCCCTTCCCCTTCATTGTTCACATTTCTTAATTTGTAATTTAAACCTTTGAAAGAGGGAACTCAAGCTATGCCACAACATAGCAATGAAATGTGAAGCCTGCACTTTCTGCATTATATTTTTCAGACTATGTTTGAGTAGCCCACCATGAATAATGCAGTATTATTTCAACCATCACATAATTTTTACCAGTACAAGCCTGGACACCAAGCAGATAAATGTTAAGCTTGGATCTTCCCTTTCCTTTATGCAGACAATGACTTTTTAATATAACAAATCTAATTTGCAATGAATACTACTCTTTTCTGAAACATGCAAAAAACTGATTAGAAATATATATCATTCTGAATGCCCTTTCCATTTCTCCAACAAAGTCAAAAACCTAGAAGGGAATATGTGTAGGGTCATTGTAAGTATGCTTCCCTTTTTAAGGGAAAGAAATGGAGGTGTGGAAATAGCAAGAACAGAACAATTCTTAAAAAAAAAAGTATACGTATGCTGCCCTAATTAAACATGGGGAATATTAATAATTCTATTTTCTTTAAAGGTCTTCTACACCATCTTTACAGTCTTTATGTTGGCATTTGCCTTAACCCATATAACATTGTTAGCTGTGGCAAAGTTCATACTCCATTACTCGTATTACCCTTTTAGATATCCCAGGTTTTGTAAGGAAAATCAGAAACTCTCTCTGAATGAGACTTCACAATGTCAAACCTGTCACTAATTATCACCACCACAATATTATTTAATATTATGTATATTTAATATATCATTCTGAATGCCCTTTCCATTTCTCCAACAAAGTCAAAAACCTAGAAGGGAATATGTGTAGGGTCATTGTAAGTATGCTTCCCTTTTTAAGGGAAAGAAATGGAGGTGTGGAAATAGCAAGAACAGAACAATTCTTAAAAAAAAAAGTATACGTATGCTGCCCTAATTAAACATGGGGAATATTAATAATTCTATTTTCTTTAAAGGTCTTCTACACCATCTTTACAGTCTTTATGTTGGCATTTGCCTTAACCCATATAACATTGTTAGCTGTGGCAAAGTTCATACTCCATTACTCGTATTACCCTTTTAGATATCCCAGGTTTTGTAAGGAAAATCAGAAACTCTCTCTGAATGAGACTTCACAATGTCAAACCTGTCACTAATTATCACCACCACAATATTATTTAATATTAAATATACATACAGTTAAATCAAGTGTAAAACCCATCACTCAAAATAATATTGGAAGAGAGTAGCCAGTATTCTTTGCAGACATTGTGCAGATGGCAAAGCAGGACAGTTGATAAATAATAAAGTAACTACTTAAAAATTAATTCCATAAGTCTTACTTTTTTCCCACAAAACAGGGGGGTGGAAAGTCTGTGCATCTTATGGAGCGAAGAAAACAGATTATATTTTCCTGTTTTCTTCTCCTAAAAAATCGGTGCGTCTTATGGAAAGGTGCGTCTTATAGAGCGAAAAATACGGTACTTAAAAATTAATTTTTTTCTTAAAGTGTTGCCTGCAAGGCCTAGAAGACAGTCTATCTAATTACATACAGCCTCAGAGCTCTCATGATCTTATAAAAGCCATGCATTTGAGAAGGAGAGTAGCGTTCTCATTACCTCTGTTCAGTACTGACACATGGAGAAAAAAAAGGTACAATAGATTCAAAGCAAGTGGGATACA